CAATTTTAATTGAAACACATTTTGGGTTATTTTGGAGTGGAAAAAAAGTAAAAAAGACGATCAAAATTCCCTCAATTTCCCACCTTTTTTCTAAATTAATTTTTTTTAAATTAAAAAATATATCAACTAATATCAACATAAAAGTGCTTTAATATTACCACCCTTAATGATAAAAGGGATAAATCCGTATTAAAATATTATTAAATTACTTTTCTCTTAAGAATTATGTGCTCAAGATGTCTTCCTGACATTTATTTAATCTATCATTATTGTAATAAAATTTGGTCATTATTTTATTCATGAAACAATTAAAACAATAAAATAAATTATATCAAATATATTTTTCATTAAGTTGTATGTTGCAATATTGTCAGAATAAAATGTTACATTATCTGGGAAAATAAAATTTGTATCTGGAAATGCATTAAAATTTTTTGGTAATGAAAACTTTTTCGGAATCATTATAGATTTCAAACTTTTCGATCTACCAAAGCAACTTTCTCTCAATTCTAAAACATTGTCATGAAATATTATTAATGTTTCGAGATATTGGTGACGAGTGATGGAATAAGGATTGATATAACGAACTGTTCGTGGAACAATATAAATAGGAGATTTGATTTGCATTGGATAGTGAATAAGTTGATCAAAATTTTTTGAAAAAACTATTCCATCTAATGATGAATATTTTGGGTTACTTGGGTCAACATAAACTCTCTCAAGAAAATGCATCCCATTGAAAGGATTACTGATGCATAAATTTGTTGTAGATTTTGGAATGAATAACTCTTTTATTAAGGTTCCTTCAAAAACATTATCTCCTATCTCAATTAAAGTATCTGGAAAAGAAACATTCTCTAAACATGGATAGTTTAATGAGCTAGTTCCTAAAATTGTACATGATTTATCAAAAATAATAGATTTTGCTTGATTCGCAATTGATGCATTTCCCCTATATATTCTATCTGTACAATATTCTATGAATTCGTTCAAATTCTAGGAGATTTAGCATAAATAAAAATCAAAACCTGACACAATAACTTTTTTCTTGGCTGATTGAAGAAAATCGCTCAATTTCATTTAAGTTTTTGGAATTTTGGGATACATTTGGGTTTATCCCAGATAATAGTATTGAAAAAGAAACAATATCAGGCAATGTTTTTTTTCCTTAAGGGTGTACTTACCACTTTCTGACATTCACTCAAATTTCTTGTTTAAGGTTTTATTTTCTATGCCTCTTCACACCTGTATATTTCTTTTTGAGAGAGTGTCAGAAAGTGGTTTCATTTTTGCCAATGAAACTTACAATTCTTTGAATAACTTGCAAGAATTCTATTCTTGTTGGCTTTCATTAAGGCCATGTGTAAAAATATTGTGATTTTTACTGGATACTTTGGACTGTAATCTGTCTAAATTGACTTCAGCTGGCATAAACCAAATAAATTTCATTATTTGGCGTTTTTCTTCGATAAATATTAAGGAGAATGTCTAAATCATATGTGGAACCGTAACATTAAGTGATCATGTGTTGATCCATCAAGGAAATCAGTAGTTGGAGTTGGATAATTCATAATGAAAAATTATAAACGTTCATTTTTATCAATTTTTTATCGATTATTTTTATTAAATTGTAACATTTTTATAGGTAAAAAAATTGTAATTTTCAAAATTTAATGGAATTCAAAAATTTGCAATTTCAAATAGCAATTCTAGCATTCATATTGTAAAGAATATCATTATCAACCATATAGACTTATGTTATTCTTCATTTAAAGTCTGATGCTCAATTTTTAAATTGAAATTGATATTATTGTGGGAAAAAATCAATTTAACTAATGACACGCAACGAATAATTTTATTTTCTAATGTAAAATCGATTTTAATGATCATTCTAAAAAATAAGCTTTCACAATATGGTTTACACCTTTTTTGATCCGTTTTTTATGTTCATGCTGCTTGATAGTTAATTCATTTAAAAATGATCAAGATAATATTGTATGCTATTGTAGCACAATGTAATGGACTGACATTGAAACCATTAAGCCTCATTTTTATTAAATATTCAAGATTATTTGAGATTTTAAAAATCCTTTTTCTGTAAAGAGTTATAATATTTATAATATAAGGATACTATTTTTATTGTTATTTATATATGTTATCATATTATAGCTAATATCTCATTATTACAACTATTTTAAAATATTGAACTAATCATACCTCCCAGATCGCACACATATGGGGACAATACCTTTCCTTCTTTTAACCCTAAAGAATTAAGGTTTACACCTTTTTGCCCGGTTTACACCTTTTTCTCCTGACTATATGCATATGAAAAAAAAATTAAAGGAATTATAGATAGGAAAGAAAAACCATTTGTGGTTAATCTGCAAGTTTCAATAATGTCAAAATATAAAATGTGACATTATCAGGAAAATTGAAATTTGAATTGATAAATGAATCTGTTAAATTCTTCGGTAATGAAAACTTAATTGGAATCATTATTCTGTTCAAACTTGTGCATCCTGAGAAAGCTCCATTCCTCAATTCTAATATTTTATCGAGGAAAATTTTCACTTTTTTGCGTCGTTTACAGGCGCGATGCTATCATCTTTGATGTCTGATAGTTTTAAATTATTGCAAATCTTAGAACTAGAAGCATTTTTAATTGAAGTACGCATTCCGATTAAGTTTGTAAAACTCAATAATTAGTATTGATGTTTTTACTCATGAAATAATTAAAAATATTGAGGCAATAATTAAATGGAAATCAAATTGGTTTTTCAAAAATCCACATGTCTTGAAAATATAGGGTGTCCAAAGGTGTGTTTAGCACAAACCTGAATACTGCAAATAGAAATAAACAAGTTACATATATATAAAGTTTATTTAAATATAATCACCATTGGATTCAATCACGCGTTCGCAGCGATCGATCCAGGCTTGAAAGACACGCTTTAAATCATCATGAGAAAATTGCTCAAATTGCTCTCTTACAAAATTTTCAAGATCATCTGGACTCGCGAATTCGCGTCCTTCAGCTCTCTTTTTTAGCGTGCCGAATAAATAAAAGTCAGAGGGTGCAATATCAGGTGAATAAATTGGGTTTGGAACAACTTTGACATTGTTTTCCACCAAGTAATTCATTACCTTATGACTTTTGTGAACTCTTGAATTATCAAAATGAATTGCAAACTTTTGTTTTTGTTGTTTGGATTTCTCAAACTCATCAGAATTGATAATTTGAGTAAGAACATTGTCAATTAGATACTGAGCATTCATCGTATTAGGTTTTTGAAGAATATCAATTGCGATGATGCCATTCACGCCCCAAAAAACCGACAACATCATCATTGGTGTGTCAATTTTTTTCTTCGGGAATGTTTGCGGATTTTCATCCTTCGGGATCCACATGATTTTGGCTTCTGTTGCATATTGAAACCAAGACTCGTCCCCTGTTACTAAAAAGCGAAACTTCTTGGATTGATACGCACCCAATATAGAGAGGAGCTCTTTCGAAGATTGGACTCTAGATTTTTTTTGAACTGAATTAAGGTTGTGCGGAACCCAACGTGTATACGCTAGTTTGTAGTTCAAATAATTGTGCAGATAATAACTGACTGTTGTACGTGGTATCTTTGTCATCTCCTCTATCCTTCTGAGTGATGCTCTTGGGTCTTCATCTAGCGCTTGAAGAATTGCTTTGATTTTTCTTTGATCCGGCGATTTTTTGTCAATTTTTATGATGGGCGTCTTTTTGTTCATGAAGTGATACATCCTAACATGATACGTTACAGTGGAATAGCTAGGAGCATCCATACCGAAGTATTTTACCAATGTCTCGTAGATTTTTTTACAGTCTTTGCATTTTTTTGCAAGAGCGAGGATGTTTTCTTTATGATTCATTAAAAAAATGAAAAAATCCCGCCAAAATTTCCCGCGAAACCGCCTCTTGTCTCAAAATTCATTTTATATCCCGGCATGGCGCCAAAATACAAAATACTCATCATATACATATATTCATATTTTTTATTATATATTTATAATCAGCATATATCTCCTTTAATAGTCTCATATAGAGCGCTGTGCTAAACGCACCTTTGGACACCCTATATCAAAATAGAATAAAACATTATCTGGGAAGCGAAAAGTTGAATATAAGAATGAACCTGTAAGATTTTTCGGTAATTCAAACTTATTGGGAATCATTATTGTTTTCAGACTTCGACAATCACAAAAACAACATTCCCTTAGTTCTAAGATTTTGTCGTGAAAAATAACTGTTTCGATGAACTCGTGCTGAAAAAAACAATAAGGATTTATGAATCTAACTGAACGAGGAACAACGTATAATGGAGATGTTATATGCATTGGATAATGAATCAATTGATCAAAATTTTTCGAAAATAGGATGCCATTATTTGAAGAATAGTTGGGATTGTTTGGATCTACATCAATTCTTTCAAGATATGGCATAAAGTTGAACGGATTAACAAAACTCAAAATTGTAGTCGATTTTGGGATAAATAAGGTTTTGATTTTAGAATTAACAAAAGCATCATCTTCGATCTCAATTAATGTATCCGGAAGTCTGATTTGTTCGAGAAATGATAATTGAAATGCATTAACAGATAATTTCGTACAAGATTCATCAATAATAATAGCTCTAGTTTGATCTGATATTGATTCGTCTCTTTTATATACACCATCTGTACAATACACAACTAATTCACTCAGTCGTTAGCAAATTATTTCGTAAAAATTGTATTTGTTAATTTTTATTTAAAAAGTGACAGTGATGATTTTATAACCCAATTTTGAGTCTAACTTGGAAATTTCGAGAGAAAATTTGGTCTGGATAGGAATGCAAATCATTCCAACAAGTTTTCCCTCCATTATTTCTTGTTGTTGGGTATTAAGCTCTTTTTTTCATCATCGCTAACATTATTATTCCTGAAAGTTTTGCTTTTCCTAGTTAATTTTATCTAGAAGTAATTTTTACATTAAAATAAAAACAAAGAAATAAGAGAAGGAACTGGGATCCTGCAACTATCATGTTTGCATGTGATAAGGCCACAGTCTTTCATGGATGTGAAACTAAGACCACTATTGGTAACAAGGGACATGCGGAATGAAATACTAGTGTTCTGGACAACAACACCGCAGTAAAGGCTAGTGCAACCAGTGAAAACATTCTGGTCAATGTTTTTAACACAAAGAGGGATGTTGATGTACTTGAGAGATGTACAGTCTGCAAATGCTGAGTGACCAATGGACGTGATAGAATTGTCAGGAATCATGATACCAACAAGGTTCTTGCAGCCAAAGAATGCACTAGACGAGACACTCTTCACGTTCTGTGAGAAACAGAAGAATGTGATAGAAGATGCAGGTGGGAAGCAGATCAAATTACTCCTGTTCTTGTTGAAAAGAGCTCCGTTATCGATAACGAAGAAGTCACTGTCTGGACATTCAATAGTGCTGAGAGAAACACAGCCATCGAAGATGTAGTTGCCGATTGATCGAAGTAAGCAACGAGATGGGATTTTAAAGACTGTCATCTCTGAACATCCTCGGAATGCATAGTTGCCAATCGATGTTGTAGATATAGGAACAACAAATGTTGAGATTTGTGTGGACTCAAAGCAGTTGGATTCGATGTTCTCGATTGTGTCTGGGATGTTGATAATATCACGGAGATGAGTGCACTGGCTGAATGAGTACTTGCTAAGGTTGATCATCGAGCTTGGAGAAGCAAATGTAACTTGAGAGATCATTGTGTTAGAGAATGCGTATATGCCGATGTATTTGAGAGTAGAAGGAATGTTGATGCTTTCAAGAGATGCACAGTTGCTGAAGTATTACATATCAATACTAGAAATATTTTCACTAAGCGTGAGTGTCTTCAGAGATGTACATCCACTGAATGCATATGAGTCGATTATGCAAGAACTATCGCATGTGCTGAAACTGACCGTACTGAGAGATGTGCAGCCTTCAAAACATTGTGATGATATCCGAGTAAGCTTACTTCCGAAGAAGACTGACTTGAGCTGCGCACAGTTATAGAATGATTTCTTTCCAAAAGAGGTAACTGAGCTAGGAATCTCAATTGATGATAGTTTGCTGCATCCTAAGAATGCATCATACTCGATAGTTTGCAGAGATGTGCCTGATCTAAATTCAATCTTAGTTAGATCTGTCATCTCTTTGAATGCAGATGATCTGATAGTAACAACTGATTCTGGAATGATATACGATGTACTTTTCTTAAGACACATGATTAAAATACTTTTGTCGAGATTATAAAGAATTTGTTGATCATCAAGAGAGAGTTTTGCATCACTTGGAAACGATACGTTTACATTTGATGGGAAACATGAACCTCCAAGATTTGTTATTGTTGAAGGTAGTATTACTTCTTTCAAAGTTGGACAATTATCAAAGGCAAAATCACCTATTGTTGTAATATTATCAGGAATTGCTATTTTTGTTATTCTTGCATTAGTGAAGCCATAGCTTGGAATATATGTCATACCTGCACCAAATGATATTTCTGTCAAAGATGTGCAAGCTGCAAATGCTCCTTCTCCAATATCTGTAACAGAATCTGGGATTTTTAATTTTTTCAGTCTTGTACCCATGAATGACCATCCATCTATGGTTTTCAGGTTTGGAGGGAAAATAATTGTTTCAATCACAGATGAAATGAATGCACAGAAGCCAATCTTTTTTACTGAATCTGGAACTTGAAATGATGATCCATGATTAGCAGGATATCTTACGAGAATAGTCTTATCTTTGTTATATAAGATACCATCCATTACTGAAAACGTTGGGTTAGATGGATTGCATGTAATAGTTTTTAATGTTTGAGAAGATTCAAATGCATTTGCTGCAAAATAAGAAACTGTTTTCGGTAAAAATATTGTTTCAATCTTTGATCTTTGCATTGAATATTCTTCAATTCTTGTCAAAATGGAATTATCGGTTATTGTTATCGTTAATAGATTTTGATTATATTGAAGACAATATTTCTTCATCTCTTTGACTTTATTTGGAATATTTATCGATCTGATATCACAATATCCAAAACAATTATTTGGAATTATCTCTAAATTTGTTGGAAGAACTACATTCGATAACATATTGCATTCATAAAATGCATTAATTCCAATATTTGTTAAAAATTCGTAATTCGAAAAGTCAACGGATGTTAGTTTTGTGCATTGCTTGAATGCACAATCATTGATTGTTTTAAGTTTCGAGCCTTCAGGAAATGTAATTGATGATAATGTATTTCGACTTCCTTGGAATGCATATTCAGCACAAACATCTTTTTCAGAAACGCCATATATAACTTCGCAATCAACTTTAAGAACAAAGTCTGTAGCATCAATAACAGATAAAAGAATTTTGTCTCCAGTCCCATATGTTTCATTGACAACCAAAAAAGTGACGATTTTTAAGAGTTTGAACTTTTTCACCTACTCATAATTTGTATTGTAATTATCTCCTCATACGAATTTTATGCTCAAAACATCTTTTTTGCATCAATATTAAGAAAGAAACTTAATTTCTCTAATATGTCAAAAATGTAAAAAGTGACATTTAATCTCAGCTTTATATAAAGATTATTTGTCATTAAATATAGAAATTTTAATGATATGTAAAGTAACAAGGAAGTTTGCTTTCATTAATCTTTGAATACTTATAAAGAAAAATGTTTTTGCATTTTTTTAGATTGTTTCAGAGAACTGATCTGATATTTAATTCTCTGTAATGTAAAGATCTTTAAATTTAAAGATTTTATTTATAAAATAATTATAGAAGCTAAAGGAATTATAAATATGAGATCAAATATGTGCCTTGGTAATTCACACGTTCTGATTATGTCATCATAAAAAGTTACGTCTTCAGGGAAATGAAAATTTGAAGATAAAAATGAATTAGTAAGATTTTGAGGTAACGAAAACTTATTTGGAATCATAATGGATTTCAGACTTTGTGCAAATTTGAAGCAGCCCTCTCTAAGTTCTAATATTCGATCATGAAAAATTAATGTTTGAAGAAGTTGGTGATCTGTAAAGGAATAAGGATTCAAATATCGAACTGTTCTTGGAACAATATAAATAGGAGATTTGATTTGCAATGGATAATGTATCAGTTGATCGAAATTTTTAGAAAAAAGAATTCCGTTCAATGATGAATATTTTGGATTATTTGGATCAACATTAATGCACTCAAGAGAAAACATAGAATTGAAAGGATTAGCATAGCTCAATAATCTTGTTGAAGCAGGAATTAATAATTCTTTAATCTTGGCTCCAACAAAAACATCATCTTCGATCTCAATTAATGTATTTGGTAGTGTAACATGCTCTAAAAATGTGAAATTGAGAGAATTGAATGATAATTTTGTACAAGTTTTATCAATTATAATAGATTTCGCTTGATTCTGGATTGAAGAATTATATCTATAAATGCCATCAGTACAAGAAACCACTAATTCACTCAATTACTTGAGGGTACTGTGCAAATCTTGGAAAAATAATTTATAAAAAAGTGACAATGGATACAATAAGGATTCACAAAAAGGGCAATTCATGAAGAACCCTATGATATTTTCAAACAATAATATTAAAAAAAATATTTTTAAAAAATGGTCACTCTGGGGTTCGAACCCAGGCCCTCGCGGACCAGTGCCTTAAACTGGCGCCTTAGACCACTCGGCCAAATGACCTTTACATGCTTTCAATTTATTTATGAAATGAATTGATACTCACATAATAATAATAGCAGAACTAAATAATGATTTAATTTTCGATCACTGAAATCGAAATTTATCATCAAAATCATTATCATTATGAAAACAAATATAAAAATGTCGCTATTGTTAGATCCAGCAATCTTAGAACTTAAATGCTATACAATATATAGGAAAAATTATTATTTGCAAATAAATGTTTTTCGATATGAACTGTTATGTCTCAAAAATGTCAAAATAAAAAGCTATATTGTTTGTGAAGTTAAAACTAGAACTAACGAAAGTTCGATTTAAAATACCCTTCTTAGTCAAATATGGACTATTTAAAATTCACTCATTACATAATTTTCTATGGTAAAAAAGTTAATATTGGTGGTAAAGAAAAAATTATTATAAATCATTAAATAGTAACATCAGAAAAATAACTCATTTGGATCCGAAAACTTTAATGCATCATACAGGACAACTTTTGCCTCAAAGTTTAACTTGTTATATTCAAAAATTCACCAAGTATGTAGTTGTTTTTTCAGTTCATGGTTATTTTTCTAACGTTACCCAGTCCCACCCTTTCAATTTTTAAACATGAAAATTACTGTCAATACGAGTTTTCTGGTAATGCTACGCCATACATCATGATATAATATTATAGCTTATATTGCACTTATATAATGACTTTAATTATAAGTCAAGAAAAATTCTTATTTACAGATATATTCTATTTTAAAAATTGAGAGAGTGGTACCTGAGCCTTAAAAAAAGGATTTAATGATTTTGTTAGTGAATGTCAGAAACTGGAAATTGCATCCTTAAAATTAATTGTATCTTTCACTTTATTTTAATTCAAGAATAAACCTCGTTAGAGTTTCTGATAAATAAAATTTATTTATATAAATAATAGATGCATGTAGGAGATTAGAAATCTGTAAGGTATGCATTTTCTTAAAAAGTTAGTTTCTTGAATTATATCGAAATAAAATGTAACATCATTTGGGAAAATAAAATGAGAATCTTTAAATGATTCTGTTAAATTCTTGGGTAATAAAAATTTATTTGGGATCATAATGTTTTTAAAGATGCGTGTTTCTTTGAAAGCTCCTTCTCTCAGTTCTAATATTCTGTCATGAAATATAATAGTTTCAATGTATTCATGAGCATGAAAAGCATAAGGATTGATATATCTAACTGTCCGAGGAACATTGTATATAGGAGATTTGATTTGCATTGGATAATGAATTAGTTGATCAAAATTTTTCGAAAAAACAATTCCGTCATTTGAGACATAATTTGGATTATTTGGATCAACTTCAATTCGCTCTAAACAAGGCATGTAGTTGAAAGGATTATTTGGATGCAATATTGTAACTGATTTCGGGATAAATAATTTTTTGATTGAAGTTAATAAAAATGCATCGTCTTCGATCTCGATTAAAGTGTAAGGTAATGAAACTTGTTCCAAAGAAGATAAGTCGAGTGAATTTTTGGATATTTTCGTACATGATTCGTCAACAATTATAGATTTTGTCTGAACTGATATAGAATCATCTTTTCTATATGTACCATCTCTGCAATATACCCTTAATTCATTCAATATCTAAAAATGAAATTTTTACATTTTAAGTCACTTTTTCGTCAGCTTATAAACAATATTAAAAAGCGATAAAGTTATTGTCAAAACTGCTCTATGTATATTGCGTTACAAATGTCTCCACAGGCAAATGCGTTAATCAAATATTTGGATGCAACATACTTGCCATCCTTACTGATAGAAATGCAGTTTTCGTTGATTACTCTTCAACTCACCCAGCGCTTATCTCTGCACTTCAATGTAAACTATTGAAAATTTAAAATGTCGATCTATTCCAACGCTGTTTATATGTTATTTTAGTCAGTCATTTATTAATTAAAAAGGAATAAAGTTATTGTCAAGAAAAACTATATTATATAATCTATTTATTATTAAGAAAAATCTATCCAAAGTAACATTTTATTTAAAATGTTCATTAATAACTGCTTGGGGTCTGCACAGTTTGACATTTACTAACTTGTAAATCACATATCAAAATTTAGCAAGTTTTGATATTAAACAAAAGAGGAATGCTTAAATTTCATTCCCGTGTATTGCATTTTTGAAATCTAATTTTATTCATTCAATAGTAAAAAACATAAAAGAAATTAGAATTTGAAAAGAAAGGCTATATTTGATCAATCTACATGTTTCAATAATGTCAAAATAATATGTGACATTGTCAGGGAAAATAAAACTTGAAACAAGAAATGCAAAAGATAAATTCTTTGGTTGCGAAAACTTATTTGGAATCATTATGTTTTTCAAATTATGTGTGTCTTGGAAAGCACCTTCTCTAAATTCTAAAATCTTGGAAAAAACCAGAATTTTCGAAAAAGTGACACCAACTATTAAAGTTATTTTATTACTAGATTTATTTACAAATTATAAGATAATATCATTAACCGAATATATTTTTAATATAAATAAAAAACTTTTTTATACAAAAAATTACAATCAATCGATAAATATTATAAAACATTTATTCCAAAAAGATTAAGTAATAGGTGGGATCCTGCATATAATATAATTTTATGTCATAAAGTTTACAAATTTTAGATGGACCACAGTGAGAATGTGAGTGGTTAATTTAAAGGTGGTCTGATAAAGATATCGAAGCTTACTCAACACAGCATGAAGCAGTTTCTAATACACAATCTTACTAGTGGTGTTTCGGTCGCCAGCGCTCTCATAGGGGTGCTGATTTCAAAAACCACGACTTCAAATTATTCAACAATACTCAATGCAGCATGAAGCAGCTACTACTGCTGTATCTTACTGGTAGTGTTTTGGTCGTTGGCTCTTGCACAGTCTCTCAGATTTTCAAAATTTTTTTCAACACTATCTTGTTTCGCTCTCAGAAAGCTATCCTACAAAGACATCGAAGCTTACTCAACACAGCATGAAGCAGTTTCTAATACAGAATCTTACTAGTGGTGTTTCGGTCGCCAGCGCTCTCATAGGGGTGCACCGAAATTCAATTGTTAATGATATCAATTCACAAATTGGAATCGAAGATCAGTATGAAATTTAAAATATAAATAAATTTTAATTATATTATTTTTAATTTTTTTAAATAAATATACATATATAAATACATACATATATACATATATACATATATAAATATATACATATATAAATATATACATATATAAATATATACATATATAAATATATACATATATAAATACATACATATATAAATATATACATATATAAATACATACATATATAAATATATACATATATAAATATATAAATATATAAATATATACATATATACATATATAAATATATACATATATAAATATATACATATATAAATATACATATATAAATATACATACATAAATATACATATATAAATATATTTATATATATAAATATATAAATAACAAAATACAATCAAAAAATAGTGTTTGGAAATTTAAGGTTAAGTGTCACTTTTTCGTAAATTCTACCACACTCTGCGAAAACTTATTTGGAATCATTATGTTTTTCAAATTATGTGTGTCTTGGAAAGCACCTTCTCTAAATTCTAAAATCTTGTCATGAAATACAATGGTTTCAATGTATGCATGAAGATGAAAAGCATAAGGATTGATATATCTAACTGTCCGAGGAACATTGTATATAGGAGATTTGATTTGCATTGGATAATGAATTAATTGATCAAAATTTTTCGAAAAGAGAATCCCATTATTTGATGCATAATTTGGATTATTTGGATCAACGTCAATTTGTTCAAGATATGACATATAGTTGAAAGGATCATTCGGATGTAATACTGTAACAGATTTTGGGATAAATAAATTTTTTATTTTAGATAAGTAAAATGAATCATCATCTATCTCGATTAAAGTGTTAGGTAATTGAAGGTGTTCAAGTGATAATACTACGAATGAAAGATGAGTTATTTTTTTACAAGATTTGTCAACAATAATAGATTTTGTTTGATTTGATATTGATTCATTTCGTCTATAAACTCCATCTGAGCAGTATATTACTAAATCATTCAAAATCTAAAAAAGAAAAGCATAACTTGTTTTATTACTTTTTTTTATGTTCGATCAATTGGATACTCGCCGATCATGTTTTGTTAAGGATTCCTATCGATCACTTAACTCTTATCAAAAATTCAATTTTTATTTTTGAGATTCCAATCAAGTGGAAATTTCAAAAAAAAAATGGCAATTTGTGGAAGATGATAGACCAAATTTTACGCATACTCAGATTTGTCCAAACAACTATTATTTTGATCAGTCTATCATGTGTTAAAATTGTAAAATTCTACAAACACAATCGAGAAAAGTGATAAAAAATCGAGAGGTGGTACGCAATTAAGTATTTTTTACTTTGTGAGATAAAAATTTAATCACTAAACTATTAAAATCTAAAGAAAAATGAGGAGGAGAGTTTCTTATGAGGAGTTTCTCCATTTACATTTTTATTCATTGATATTTGCGCCATGCGAAATAAGAAGTTCGGCCATTTCTTTACGATTATACCTCACTGCAAAATGAAGAAGGGTTTCTCCACTAACACTTTTTTCATTGATATTTGCGCCATGCGAAATAAGAAGTTCGGCCATTTCTTTATGATTGTACATCACTGCATGATGAAGAGGAGTTTTTCCAGAAACACTTTTTTCATTGATATTTGCGCCATGCGAAATAAGAAGCTTGGCTGTTTCTATACTATTACACGATGCTGCAAAATGAAGAGCGATGAGTCCAGTGTCTGATTTTGCATTGAGATCTGCGCCATGTGAAATAAGAAGTTCGGCTGTTTCTTTGCTATTTCTAATTGCTGCGGTATGAAGAGGGGTGTTTTGATGACCACTCATTGCATTGACATCCATGCCATGTGAAATAAGAAGTTCGGCTGTTTCTTTGCTATTTTTCAGTGCTGCAAAATGAATGGCGGTGTTAAAATATTCATTTCTATCATTCATATTTGCGCCGTGCGAAATAAGAAATTCGACTATTTCTTTGCTATTGATATGTGCTGCTTTGTGAAGTGCAATTTCTTCATTTGTATCTACTGCATTGATGTTTGCACCATGTGAAAGGAAATATTCGCAAAGGGATAGAATATTGAACCATGATACATAAGAAAAACATTTGTTTATATCATTAGTTTGATCGTAATAAACTAAAAATGCTTCAAGATTATTAAACCGTCCACAATGTTTTAATTGCATTTCCATATCGTACTCATTCATCAAGAATGTAACAAAATCAATGTTATGTGAAATAATTGCATACTTCATAGTTTCATAATCTGGTTTTTGATATTTCAAACATTCACTTATGATCTCTGGATTTCCGCCCAAAAATGAAAATCTTGGACATTTTTCCGTTATTTCCGCTCTGAATTTTGTTCTTAAAAACTTGAAACAATTAACTGCACCGTGATAACAACATAATTCAAGCAATGAATATCCTCCTTTTTAGAATCTGGATATAAATTGCTTTTAAGCGCTTGATTTACATCAAATCCATCACTTTCGATGAAGAAAATGAATCTATCTTTGTCATCATTCATAATTGCTCTGTAAATTGTATTTTCGGAATGAATGTCGATATTTACATATTTAATTTCTTCGAAATCTTCATAATTGTCTAACTTAATTCCATATTCTTTGTAAAACAGGAATTTTGAAATACGTTTAGTATTAGGGACCTCTTTCAGTTTGGCAAGAAATAAATATGACTTTGCATAGCGATTATTATACGTAATAATATTTAAAATGTCTTTTATAATAAATTTAGGGAGATGTTTCTTTGAATCAATCAATTCTGTTTTGATCATTTTGTAAATTGAGATTAATTCTTCCTCTTTGTCAGTTTTCAGCTGATACAATGCATTGTATGAATCTATATAGTATTTGTAGATACTTCGAAGTTCACTAAATTTATTTGGATGAATGTCTTGATTAGACATATAAAAAATTTAAAAGTCATTGGCATTTTATAAAACACAATAACTTTAAAATTTATTGAAAGATAATAATGCTATGTTATACATGTGGAACGCAATGATCACAAAGATTTCGGAAATATAACTTCTGAATTTTGATTAAGTTCATATGGATATGAAACAGCACTATAACAATATTTCACAATAGCCTCAAAAGCATCACCTATAGAAACAGTTGAAATTTACAATTTCGCATTTGAAGGTGGGGGTAAAAAAATGATAATGAAGATAACATTGTGTGTAGAAATATGAAAACAATGTAAAATTTTAATTAATGTAGCGTTGCTTCCTACATTCAGAGGTGCCTGCACAGTTAGTATGCGCTGTATGGAGAGAATATTGCTTGTAAGAATGTTTTACCGCATCTTGCCAGCCAAATATGTGTAATCAAGTTTTAATTGCGAAATTTCCTTCACCCAGAGATTATAACGCAGAAATTGTGTCTCGTATGCAAAGGTAATTAGACTAATAAATGTCTATTGATTGTATTTGACTGTTGAAGATCGCACTTGATCAAAAATTTATTTCTAAGACGATTTTGTGCATTGTAGCTTATCGATGAATAGAGAATTCCTCCCAAAAACTTCAAACCGATAAAAGCATGCTTTAAATAAAATTTATTAAATTAGCAATCTCTGATAGGAAATAAATGTTCCTCGAGTAAAAATGTTCATTGAGAATTGAAAAAAGACATATTCATTTTGAAATTTAAATTTTAATATAAACAAAAAAACAAAAAAGGAGGAATGTATAAGATCTACTCAAATCTGAGTTGTAATAGCCATGTTTCTATTGAACTCTTATCTGGATTCTTGTCATCAAGCTCGCCAAGAGTATGAATCTTTGTAGCACCCAATTCTGCCATCTTATTCTCGACATGTTTTGTGAAAGCTAGATAATATGGAGCTCTCTTTGAAGACCCGCAACCAAAAACCGCATATTGGACTCCTTTGTAAAATTCTGGATTCTCAATCTTTTCAAAGTCCTCAAAGAAGTCTTTACATGTCTTAGGTCCCTCGCCCTTTCCATAATTTGATATGATTAATATCAAATTTTTATATTGCTGAAGATCCGAAGGCTTAATATCTGAAATCGAGCAAACTGGGAAGTGAAGAATCTCTGCAAATCGATCTGCAACCATCTTAGCAGTTCCCTTCTTTGTAGCATATGCAATCATAGTTTCGACTTTCATCAAAGGGTTAGAAAGTTAGAGAAAAAAAGAAAAAATGAATAAAATGTTTGCATTCAATTTTTTGATAAAACACTCACAAAATTTATTTTTTGAATGAAGTTTAATTTTTCTGAAAAGTACGATTACTTCTTAGTTAGCCATGCAAAAAATTGAATTAAAAAATCGTGATAAATCGTTTTGGATTAGTTTTCCTTACTTGCCATCCTATTTTGATATTATCGAACCGATTTGACTGACATTTTATGTTCAATATTTTGATAAATTTCTAATATCAATAAAAACTCAAATTTTTGATTAGTTTCAACTTCCATAATGATGTATATTCTAATTTATTAAAGACAATAAAATGTAAAAATTCAATTGACCAAAATTGTTTATTGATTTGATCTTTAGTGTTAATTCAGTTTGGAAAAATGTACTCAAAATCTTATGTTTAAATTCTGTTGTACAGATTTACGCAATTTTTTGCTTTTCTTCATTTGTTGACTTATATGAGATGTATTCATCAAGGATTTTAACTCGAATTTCTTGCATTCATCATAATACCATTGAAATTCTTTATCCTATTTATATGTAAAAATTTGAATACTTTACATTATAAAAAATGCGCTCTCATCATCATAAGAAATTACATAAATATCGTGGTGATGATGATGCTCAAAGTCAATGTGAAAACCCTGTGGATAGTAATGATATATTCGATTTTGAGCCAATTCAAGAAAAAGCAAATTCCGTTACTACTGAACAACAAATCGATGATTCTGATTACTCAAGAGCATCAATTAAAGAATCGCGAGAGTATCAATTATTGCAATGTATTAATGAATTTCGACTTCAGTCAGGATTTCCTCGATTGAAATTTAAAAACAGTTTGGGGGATTATGCATATAACATAGCAATGAAATTACCTGTACAATATGAAAATAATGGACAATTCGCAATAATGTCTCAGATGTATTTTTATGATTTTTATAATGATGAAGAACCCGAAGAACTTGTTAGGAAATGGATGTACGATTCGAGTAAATTACAAGTTTTATTAGCTACTGGAAATCTTGGAAATATATCTATTGTTCCAAGCCAACAAGGTCTAATTGTCATAGTTTTTATAATCTCGACCTTTTCACCTTAGATATACTTTATGCAATAGAAAATGAATGATATTATTACGTACAAAATTATCTGCTGAAACAAACCTTTTATTTGCATCAATTAGCATAATGATGATTCATTTATTACGATCACATGATGGAGAAACATGATAATTTAGCATTTTCTCTTGCTTTTTGATCAAAAAAAAAAATTATTTAAGTTAGCAAATTGATTAATCAAAACTATTATGCTTTGAGATAGAAATTGTATTTGCGCATAAAAAGAATGATAAATGTTTTTATTTTCATGGATAAAAAAAAATAGTAATATTAGTAAGGATTTGTAAATGTTTCTTCCTTAGGTGCTTCATAGTTTGTATCTTTTTGGAGAATTGGAGTGGAATTTAGTTTAATCTTATTTTGTCGACGTTTCATGAAGAGAATGATGACGACAATGCATATAATCACTACAGATACACTTCCAACAGCTGCTGCTATTATAATTTTCTCTTGTTTTTGACTATCGAAAGGAATTTCAACTTTTTCCTTGGTAATTATATCGAATACTCCTTTTTGTCCATTAACCGAGTATGCCTTATACATTTGTGATTCTCTCGATATGGAGTAATGCAAAACTGTTTCGTTTTCGTCTTGAATCGAATAAGAAAATGGTTCTGAATTATTTGAACTGGCAATAATTACGGTTGGTTTGCTACTGTTAGTTGCTTGCATCGATTTTCCTGAGAAGTCATACATATATTTGACTCTTTTTGAATCGTAAATTAAAGCTGACGCATTGTGATTCAATAATGGTAAGAATATACTAACATATGGCTCACTAAAGGAATAAATAGTTGATTTACCATTTCCTGTGAAAATATTGATATTCTTCATGATATTTATCTTTGAAGAATTTATATTAAAAGAACAATATGTGAAAGATGTCTGTTGACTATTTGTGTTCTGAAATTGAAGTGATCCCCTTGTTTCGAAGTAAATTGCCCTGCAATCTGCAAATTGAAAATTCTCAAACATGATTTTGTTTGAAATAATATAAGTCTTAACATCTTTTGAAAAGTTCAAAAATATTACAAATGTATTTGCTTCAAATGTGAGTGATGTTGTGAGTTCATTTGGAATCTCAACTGTGTTTGTACCGAATTGACCTGAAATAAAGTACTTGTTACTTCTTCTTTTGTTGTTAAATGGACTTCCTAATGCTAGTGAACGTAGAAACAAGAAAATCATGTTTAAATGGAATTTGGATCATGATCCATATTACCTCTCTCAAAATTTTGAAAGAATTATTGGCAAACTTACAAAATATTTCCCTGATTGAAATATATCAGTTTCGACTAAAAAGTGAATTGAATTTCCCCATAAAACGGATCTCCACCATAAATTTATGACAAATTGGCCTTTTAACTATCTACCATAAATTATTATTCCAAACATGGATGCAAATGCACTATGCAAAAGAGTTTGCATTACAATGTAAGGAATTACATTTTTTACAAAATTTAAATTTTTGTTGCCATAATCATAGTGAAATGGAAAAGCATTATGATATGAAAGTTGTACCTGTGTTCCTAGCAGCAATAAACATTAATATTAAGAATTATTGAAATCTTTATTAATCTTATTAACGAGTGATGTTATTTTCACTTTCAAATGTCATAGTATGGATTGGTTGAGTAGATATGAATGAAAATGTAATATAAAAAAAAATCAATAAAAATTATCCAAAATATGATATTTAACAGAACATTTAATTTGTACTAGCAATTGAGATTGAAAACCCTAATTATTAACTTGTAATTACAAGAAAAAATGAATTATCAAAATAATACTAAAATAAACATATAATTATATGACAAAATTCAATTTTCTTAATCTAGATATGTCGGATATAATAAAATAATAGCATGCGAAATTTTCAAAGTAAGAAAATTTTTTTAGTGTACGTTACAATATGAAAAATGACGAATAATCAGGATAGTGTAATTGAACATATTGCAGAGCAAACCCATACTGAGGAGCCTGGATTCGTATCAAATCAAGATATAATTGAAAATGAAACAAATGAGTTGAATAATGGCGAAGAATTGTTCAATACTTCTAATTCTGCTGGAACAGAAGAAGAAGAAATGCATAACAAGCATAAAGAAGAAGTGAGTAATGGAGAAACCGAGCAAATTACTGAAGTTGATACTGACGAAATCAATTCAAGTACATTAATACAGCCAGCAGATAGTGAATCAGAAAAGGAATATGTAGAAGAACCTCATAAAATGGAAATTTCGCCTGAATTAGCAGCTTTTCTGGAAGACATGCCTTTCGGACTTGGAAAAGATTTAAGCTCAAGAGTCAGAAAGACTGATGATAAATCTGGAATCCGACCAAAATTACCATCAGCTCGTGAATTAAAAGCTGAAAGTGAAAAATCTGTAGAAAATGATTCGAAATCTAATTCACCTCCAAAAAGTTATCCGAAAAAGAAGATTGTACAACCAAAGCCAAAATCAGCTTTAGAAGATGCATTAGATTTGTTCTCAAATCCATATCCATTTTCTTGGCAACAAAAACCAAAAGAAACTTCTACGCAATCAATTCCAAAGCCACGAAAAACTCCGCTTAATGAAGGCTCTGCAAAAGTCTCATCTTCAAACATAGTTATTGATGATCCTATTGTTGATCCATCAGAATCAAGCCAAAGAATGCAATCACAACCACCAAAACCAATCAAATCATCCAAATATCTATCTCAACCCCAAACTCCTCAAATTTCAGACAATTCCGATGACGATTCTAAGCCAAACTCGGTAACTAGAACACCTCCTCAACAAACTATCAAGCAAAAACCAAACCCAGCACCAAAATCAGACGAAAAAGTTTTACGAAAACCATATCAAGAAATTGATATAAGTAATTACATGCCATCTGCATCAGATAATGCCGGATCTCCTCAAAAACCACCAAAAGATACTGTTCCTGCTGCGAATGATGATACAACAATGACGTTTTTAACAGGATTAACTGATGATCAAGCTTATAGAGGAGCAGACAATCTGCCAACCTCAACATCTCAAATTCCAAGCTCCCATCAGTCCAAAACTACTCGTGTGCCTAAAAAGAAGAGAATGAATTACGCAATGATGAGTTTCTTAGGTCCTCCAAAGCTTCCTGTGACAAAACCAATAGATATAACTAAATATGAATACAAAGATGCAGATTTCGATGTTGAAGCCAATATTGATAAAATTCCACCATTATTATTAGATTTATTAGATTATCCGCACGAAAGTTTAACATTCCATGCATTATGCGGATCATTATTACCGAATGTTCCTTCAGAGCATGTTTCTCGTGTTGTTTTAGAACTGAAAAAAGTTTTGCAAAAAACAACATCGCAAGGATTAATTTCTGAATCTTGTTATGTTGAGAATTGCCAGGAAGACTTAAAGAATGCGCATTCCAAGAAGAAGGCAGAAAAAGATCCATCGGAATACAAAGGAAGATTAGATAAAGCTCAAACAAAACTTGACAAAATCCATGAAAACTATGAGATAAAAATGAAAGAAATAGAAGAAGAAGAAAGCCAAGCGATGCAATATATGGAAGACAAGTTCCAACAAGAAGCAGCTTCATTAGATGATGAATGGAATTCTGAGAAAATGCAGAACAAATATAGTAAACCAAGTGCAAAATTGATTGATCTTCGAAATGAAGCAAAAATCAACTTAAAAGCTCATAGATTCGAAGACGCAATTTTGATTGCAAATGAAATATCTCAACTAGAAGAACTAGAATCTGGAGAAGCAGGAAAAAGAATGGCAGAAGCATATAACAACGCTGCAAAAAGATTGCAACAAAAATATGAAAGTGATAAAAATGTTTTATTGGATACTTATGATGCAAAAAAGAGGAAGCTGAAAGTAGAATTGGAACAATCAGAAAGACCATTCCTTACTCAAATGGATAAACTCAATTTCCAAATAACTCAAATTGAGAAAGAAAAAGAATTGGAGAAAAGGAAAAATAAAAGAGAAGCAACAATTAAAAAAGCCCAGTCAAGAAACAATGTAAGTAATAAACAATTGTCCAATATTCCTCCAATACAAGTGGATGGAAAACTAAAATTGCCTCCACTGCCTACAATGAGCCATAACAGAGCAAAGTCTGCTATTGATTCTTCTTCAACTAAGTGAATAAAAAAATAATTGTTTGTGTGTTTACTATGATATATCAATAGGAAAATTTTAGGAATCAAATCAATAAAAATATCAGAAAGAGATCGAAATTTTTTGGTATCAAATCAATAGTACTATTGGTATTCAGAGACTTCAAATTGTATCTCGGCAAAAGAGAATTTTTGAATTGTAGTTTCGGATCTAAAATTAAATAAGGATTATTATTTTCGTCTGACGAAAATGATAATTTTTTATTTTCAGGGTCATGCTAAAAAGATAAATTTATGATATTGCAATGCAATGATACCTACTTGAATTGTAATGCATCTATTTAGAAATTTTGGTGAAAATAAATTGAATAGAAATTCACAAAAATTATATCAATTTGAAGTTGCTGTTAGAATGATAACATGCACAAGGAGGTATTAAATAAAGTTGTGTATGGGTGGATTGTGCCTAAATTAATAGAAATAGAGTTATAGTTCAATATTTCAGATACCAGACGAAAATGATAATTTTGTCACTTTTTCCAGACGAAAATGTAATTTTGTCACTTTAATTAAAAGTATTTTGCTCTTACAAGTAAAATTTTAACAAAAAAAAACTTGTCAATATCTGATTTTTGACAGTTTACAAACTTCTGACATAAAGTGTATTAAAATCTCAAGGTTCGGAAATTGGTATCCTCATTGATGTATATTAATTCATTCTACGATTAAAAAAATAGCACGATCAGGAAAGGAACAATAATTCTCAAGAAAATTTGCACATACTAATTCATTATTGGATAATACATATAAATTGTGACTTTCCATCTCCTCAGATGAATAAAAAGTGAGTTCTCATAATGATCGGTAACGATAAATTTTGATCTCATATTGAAAAATTGAGAAGCATTGTAAACTATCACACTTCCAACAGTAATACAATATAAATTATACATGGCACGATGGGCGCTACTTTTTTGGCGCCAGCGGCGCCGCCCGCGCCTCCGGTGGCTCCCACTGGTGGGGAGGAGACGATAGAAAAAGATATAAATTTTCCTAAAAAAATTGAATTTTGGAAATTCTTTTGATTTTTTTGAATGATTTACGAAGAGATTGAACACATTTTGTACTATGAAATATCGTTATTAATAAATTTACTTCTTAAACATCTATTAAAATCGCAATTTTGAATATTTTTATGATTTTTTTTGACCCGATCACTTGCGCCCGGAGTAGGTGCCAAAAGTGCTTACTCTTAAACAACCGTCGGATTTCCGGGTGAAATCGTGACACACTTTCGTCTTTCGTAGGCAGTGGTGGTTGTTACAAAAGGTAACTTCGAATGTAGCGTGAAATCTGCAAAAAAAATTCTGAAATTTGAATGGAGAACACAAAAATTGAATAGTTTACGTCAATAAAAAGGAGAAAAATGAAGCCAATGTGTCTCGAACCTAGAACTTAGAGCAGCAATCCCACTGTTTATCGCATTACACTACATGCATCTCTCACCTCTGTGAATGAGATCAACTATATGATAACTTTTTCCCCATTATATTCTTGTGGAAAAGTGACAAATAGCAACTTTGACCCTCTCTCCTTGCGCCCGCGCCCACTGGGAGGGGCGCTTGTAAAGTATTCAAAAATCAATGTAAACATTTCAATTTTTACTCCCATCTCCCATTGGGACGGGGGCATATATCTTGTAGCGTTCAAGTTCAAGTGATGAAAGTGCATAAGAAAGCTCCTTAATCATACCGATAGAAACAGCATTAGGGGCGCCAAATGGCGCTCGGTGATGTTTCCCATAAAAGCTTAATTTCAGGTATTCATAATCATAACCTGTCAGACGCAATAATTCATTAGCACACAATCATCGTTTCTCAATCAAGAAACGAAACGCACGATTGATTATGCTGGCCATTAAATTTTCATATCAAATAATTTACTACTTCAAGAAAAATTAAAGACTATCATCAACCAAAGCTTAAAATTCTCAGTGTTTACAACTCTCATACTTCGAATATGCATATTTCCAAAATAGCATGAAAATTTTTTTCATTTGAGCTCATTTTCTTTTGTTCTATTAACTAATACATGCAGTACAAGCTTGTTATACGTATACTTAATAAGTAAGGTCTTAAGGGAAATAATAAAAAACAATTTTGCTATTAATTATATTTATAGATCCAAGGTGATGTGATTTTTGCATCCCTGGGATGGACGATACACCCAAAGTGTCACCTTTTTGGGATAACATGAATTTTAAATATCATGAGAGTTCTGCAAACCATATGCACAATATCTATTCAGCCTGACTTCTTGTATATATGAGTTAGACTTCTTAAATATTGTGCTTGGGCGATATAAGCATTTCCGAGATTACCATCGTGCTCTATAGTATGCTACTTCTCCCTGGTTCTAGCTCAGTTCCAAGGATATTGGCGTTCAAGGATTTGGCAAGGTCCTTCCGAAGTCTCTCATTCGATGAGAGATTTCGGAAGAATCTTGCCTTAAAGTACTCCAACTCTTGTTCTTTTGTTCCTAAATAGTGAGAAAAGTTATTTGACTACTTAAGGTAGAGATTATCCGAGGTCCCTCATTTGATGAGAGGCCTCGGATAATCTCTGCCTTAAAATTGTACACTTGTAGTCCATGAGAGTGTAAGTATACATTGATAGGACAGCTTTCTTCTGAAGTCTTAGATTTGATGAGAACCTCAGAAGAAAACTGTCCTATTTTATAGTAAAAGGAGTTTCAGGAGCTCCAAAGCTCCCTTTCGTAAGGATTAGGAGCTTTGGAGCTCCTGGTTCGTAGATGTGTTTCGCATCTTTCATCAGCAAAGGACATTTACCATCTGGGACTCTGTTGATGGAGACTCAGGAGCTCCAAAGCTCCCTTTAGTAAGGATTAGAAGCTTTGAAGCTCCTGGTTCGTAGACGTGTTTCGCATCTTTCATCAGAAGAGGCCCAAATGGTAAATAGCCTCTGCTGATGAGCTTCAGGAGCTCCAAGGCTCCCTCTCGTAACGATTAGGAGCTTTGTAGCTCCTGAAGGTAAGGTAGGATTGCTCTGATCTCTAATCAGTAGATGCCATGCCTCATTATGAACTCTACTGACAAGAGATCAAGAGCTCCAAGGACTCCCTTTTTAGTTAGTGGCGTTCTCACCATTTAGTAGGATTGCTGATCCTACTTATGAAGTGATCACTTAGTATACGTTTTGAATAAATTGAATTTTTTTAGAATTTAGTATTTTTATAGACATCACATGTATATTATAAATACATAAATATATTCTTTAATTCAAAAAATTCAATTCGGTTTTGGATGGGTATCCCAGCCCCAAGTATTCAATTTTATTCAATTTTTAAAGAATTTTGGGTTGGGATGCCCAGACCAAAACAAGCTTTATATTTTGATGTGTAGATACGTATGTGTGCATCATTGTTGTGTTATATATTATGTTTTTAATGAAAAAAAAATCTGATTCAAAAAAAATTATCACTAATTAGTTGATAATATAAAGAAAAAATAGATAAATTGTATGTTTTGAGAGTATTTATCCACATTCACTCATATGAATTTCATTAAATAGTGTCTTTTTACTCCAAAATTTATTTTGAATTATTGAAATCAAAGAAAAAAAATCAGAAAAATTTCTCGAAATTTTTATTTTCAAAAAAAATTTGGATTTTATATTGAAAACTGACACTGGGAGGACGATAGGGGTGGGATTGGAGATACCCCCCTCACTTGGGAAAAATACGGATCTATAATTATATTAAACAATATTTATTTGTAATTTCGTGATAATTATATTTCTTATTACAAAGTAAAGGTATTTGATATAATGTTTGCCTTACAAAAATGTTTCCTTTGTCTTGCCACCATAGGTATTCTATTTTGTCACTTTTTGCGCCCGCCGTGCCATGTATAATATAAATTATAGCAATTTTTATAGATTTATATAAAACTATTGAGAGCACTTTTCAATTCAAATTTGCGATCATTTTCCTAACATTCGATTAAAGTCAAAAAGAAAATATATGGGTTCGTTATCGATTTTGTAATTTAATCGTTATCGTTATCGATTTTGTAATTTAATTGTTATCGTCTTTTTTTAAACGTGCATTTTCTTCATATTGGGATAATGAACATAACTTGTTCTGAGCTTCCAATGCACAAATCGTTTTTATTCTAAATGGATTCATTCCTACAAATTTGGCAGAAATCAGTGAATATCATCATATATCGAATTCTTCAATTTGGCAATTTATTTAAAATCGTTCTCAAGAATTCTTATCTTCATGTAAGGAAGTCACTTTGGAAAATTGTTTTCACTTTAGGAGAATATAATTTTCCATTTGGAAAATTTAAAAAGTGAGACGCGCAGGATTCGAACTTTTTTAAAAGTTGATTTAAATGAATTTTAGTGTGGAATATAAGGATAATATCATATTTAAAATAAGAATATACTAGTTTAGGTGGTATTAATTTTTTCGATAAATTTGAGAGTATGTACGTTTAGGGCATGAAAAGTGTCAATTCGCTCAGCGAAAGCTGAGCTAGCTTCGTTCTCGAAAGAATAAGGAAGGAGTGAAGGAGAATGATACAGAAGTTGACACATTCATATCATTTCAACAAATTTTGATCAAATTGAAATTCAATAAAATTCAATTCAATTCATATCCTTCAGTCAGTACATTGATATCCTTCTGCATCACAATGATAACTCGGGCATCAATAGTTCTACAACTAACTCAGAAAAAACAAGATTATTACTTCCTGCTTACAGCTTTTAAAAAGTTTCGATGATAAAAATCACTCTACTCTCGTTTATCGACATATGGTGATAGTAGTAAACATATTCTTATCGATATTAATAAAATATTTGTACGAAAATCTTATCCAATTAGAGAGTTATTCATAAAGTATATGATAATTATAATTACTTTATCTTTGTTTTATCTTTGAATAAACAATTTAATTTAAATTGCATAATATTTTTGGTTGAAAGACAGGAAACTTAGTTG